TGATATGATAACATATGTATGTTATATGCCACACCGTTTATCACCGTTAATGATCGAGTAGTCAAGATTCAGAAATTAAATTTAATTTACTAGAAAAATGATAAAATCCAATATTAAGTCATTGAACCATTTCGGTTTATTCATTTTTCATCTAAGCTATCGTTGATTTCATGTGTCTGATCTTAACTATTAAATATGAATGGGAGTTTTGAACAAAAGCTGAATTCACTTCAGAAGTACAGTTGAAAAGTTAAGTATTGAGAGAGACAAGTGGAAAAGACACATACGAAAGATCACAATGAAAATTATTTTTAGTGGAATAATTTCAGACTTTCTCAAAACTGTCTCCTGAAAATGAAAACTTCAATACGATAGGAAAGGTATCATCTTCCATTATTCATTCCACTACAATTGAAAATTTAAATTGAATTTTTCAAAGTAAAATTTCAAATAATAAGTAAAACTCAACAGATCAATATTTTTCCAATAATAATTTGGTCTATTCATTATTTGAGATTTTGATACGGTTCCTTAGTTCATTGCGATTTGGAAAGATACTGTCACAATATCTGTTTTCAGTTAGTAGTAATGTTATCAAAAAGGATTACAATGATACAATGAAGCAGCTAACTTCTCATTTGTTTTTTTGTTCAGATATTTGATAGTGAAAGATTTTTATTTTTTTCAATTTGTACTTTGTTAAAAAGATTTTCATTGAATCGAAATTTCGGAAAATTTTATTACCTTGGTGATAATCCTTAGATGAATGTGTCTTGTTTAGAAAGAGATAATAGAAAATATTTTCTAATCCTTCCTGTATTATAGCTCAAGTAAGGCTGATTCTCTGCAATATTAGAACAGCGTTATTTATCTAGCTAAATAACAGATCTTTTCGTCAAATAAGAAATCATATGACAGTCCTTTTCACTGATTTCATCTCATAAGAATTCAATTTTAATTCAAGAAACAAATCCCTCGATAATATATGTGCTTATCGTAATTCTTCACTAAATACTAAAATATAACAATGTTGATTATGAATAACTGAAATTTTAGATGCGAAAGCCGAAATAATTGACATCAAAGCAACAATAACCAAGTCATTGCGTGAGGCATTATTAATTTCATTAATATTGAAATCTATTCTTGATAAATTACAGCTGCTTAAGTGTGACAAGTTAGGTAAGCAAAAGCATCAGTAATAATAAAATTAAATAAGCGAAATTAGCAACGATGAATTTTTATTTTTTTTTGTTTGCTAAGTAAGCTAGGTAAGAAAACAAAGTCAAGTTTCTGGACAATCTAAACTGAAGTTAAGGATACACGTATTGAGACAAAATATCTGAAATAATGAAATAGAACAAAAATCTTTACGAATAAACATACCATCGGAAGATAATGAATCAATAAATTATATTTCAGAATATTGTGCTAATCAGAACACAGATTAAGTTTTTAAATTTTTAAATTTTTCCACTATAATTAATTTTTTAACTCATATTTTCGCTCTAATTTTGAAAGAAAACAAGAATTATTTGTGAGCAATTTCGATCTATTTCTAACGGTAAGAAAACTAACACACTTTAGAATGATATGGAAATAAATGATACTGTATAATTATTTATTGTATTACAAAAGTTATTATTTGCAAAGTGAAAAGTAATTTTCTCATCTCTTTTCAATCCATCTTTTTTGCCTTGTTGAAAAGGACGCATTAATTGTTTGTCCATATTAATGTCACAAACAAAGAAGATATAGAACAACAAATGTTCTGGTACTGATTAACGACTACTTGCTACTCGACTATTCGATGAATGGATACTATAAGCTTATTTAGTTTGATGTATGAGTAAAGATTGTGCATATCAAGGTACTTTAAACTTACAAGAAAACAAAGTTTCAGTATGAGATTGATGTAATAATTGGGAGATTGCTAAACAGTCACATAAATGGGAATATGAGATATACGGAGAATGAAGGAATTTATACAATATCATGAGAAATGAAGAATGAAGGAATTTATACAATTTATACAATTTATACAATTTATACAATATTATACAATTATCAGCAGTACTTTAACGCATTTTTTATTTGAAAACTTTTCTAGACAGTTAACGTTTGTATTAAGATAATCATGTTACCATTTATATTTATGTGACTGTTTAGTTAACTGTCTAGAAAATTCATCTCACTCTCCTCCTTTGGTCATATTCAATTGGAGAAAATAAATCGGTCATTAATTCGTTTTTTAGATTAGAAAGTAAGGAAAATACGAAAATACTAATTTATCTTACAAATTACTTTCACATTTCTGATCAAATCAAAAGTGTAATGGCCTTATTTTTGATGGTAATTTTTTTCCTTTTTACAACCAGAAAAAATGGTATAAAATTTAGTTTTTTTCCTTTTTCGAGAAGAACTCAAATTGGATTTTCAAAAGGAGAAATGAAGCGAAATATGCAAAATCTTCGTGCAAATTATTTACACTAACTTTTGGAAGAAATTTCTTGAAAGATCCAAGTCAGGCTAATTTCGATTTTTTAGGAAAATAATTTGTGTAATTCTATACGTGAACTTCAGTAGATAGGATATTCTATTAGTCTTATTTATATGAAAATTTACTCAAAAACGAGTACAAAAAAAGCATGCAATTAGTACAGTCACAAAACAATGTATGTATCAACAATAAACGATTGGGAAGTTTATATGTAATCCAAAAATGTAAGAAATACTGAAAAAGAGTATTCAATAAATGCAAGAAATTCCTAAATATTATTCGAGAATTGCATAAATGAAGTTGGAGAAGTGCGCGCAGTAGATAAGAGATAAAATCGAAAATGCACGAAGGAAAAGAAACAAAAGCTCATTTTGAAAAATGTTGACATCGATTAGTTGGTCTGTGAAGATCAATCTGGGAATTTTGAAAAGTTACAATTTTCCATAATGATCAAGCGAATGATCCAGTCTTTGATAATATTTGCATACTTAGTAAATTAAATGACGAAATTTGACGGGTACCATTTCGATCTTAGGGAACATTCGTAACATAATATTGCATAAGTGAAAAAGAAAATAATTTTTAAAATATTTTAAATTTTTTGGGGTAATTACCCAGCAAAGGAATCATCAAGAAATATGAAAATTAATTGATTTGATTGTCGGCATTTTCTTCATTTCAATTGAATAAACATAATATAATTTAAATCTTTTACAATATTTTTATTTTAAATACATACTTAATTTAACACAGATATGTGTAATTGAATTATTTTTGTCAACTCGTCTTGAACTCAAACAGAATAAAAAGACCGAAATTCATCTATCTTAAACGGATTTCCATTCATTTGGTTCCTTTCTTCCCATACGTTGATTTTTAGACAAACTAATTAGTGTTAAATAAGCATTGATGATTAAAAAGTAATAAAATAAACTAATCCACAATGCGTTAGTTTACATTAGCACATAGATAAATGCAGGGTTTCTTTTTGATGACATTTCATCGAAAATGCTAAATGTCATTTATTAAACAAAAATAGATATTTCCTCTTACTAAATAAATTTAAATTTACATTCTGAATTAATATTCCTTTTTATATATCAGCGTGACAGGTGTAATATTAGATTTTGAAATTTTAAATTTGATGATTAAAAAATGTTTTCATTATTCCATCACGAACTATTTGATTAAAGTATTAAGCAATGAATTTTATTCTTTGCAGCAATCTTGCTTTTATCATTTCTATCACTAATTCGCTGTGACTGTTCGAAGGTTTTGAACAGAATGTTAATATGAAATGTTCCATTTTGTCTTAGTTATCTCACATATTCATTTCCAACTGAGTTGGAATTTTTTTTCAAATCAAATTTTATTTCTTGCTATGTTTGAAAAGTAAAATGTTAGCAAAGAAACGTTTCACAGGTAATGGATGATTGAAAAGAATTTATCGAATCACTTGTTGTTCAATTAATTTTGGTTTTGCGAAGATACTATGCTAAGTGCAGTTTCGATCGAGATGTTGTTGAACGCATGTGGTTGATATGTCAATGTATATGTCAATGGCGATTGAATCGGTTGAATTTTGTAGCAGCCATCTTTTCAAAAACATTTAAGGCTCTATTTCCGTCACAACTAATTGGGATATTTTGCATTATTAAACGAAAAGTTCTCCCTTATTTGTGTAATGTATGTGAAAAGTGTTTGACACATCTGTAAAGAAGATGTAGGGAGTCGTCCCGAAAAGCTTTTACCGGAATTGAATTACAATTAAGTAAAAGTGAAGGATGTTAGAAACAGGATTTAATCGAATTTAATCAAGCATAGATTAAAAAGAAAGGGTGATCTATTGGAGTCATCTTCTGCTTTCAGTCTCTTCAGAATCACTGGATTCTGTCGTGGATTTCTGTTGAAGTAATTTGCAATCAGTCAATAGTTGGAACAAGCAGGGGGATTTTACACGTTGGTTATCGAGGAGAAGAATTGGAGCTCCCTTGGAGTATTAGCGGCACCACTTTCATGTGGATGATGTGTGTGTGTGTATGTGTCGTAACGTTGTAGACAAAGGGGGAGAGTTTAATTCTTTACTTCTAAATGGTAAGGGTCACAAAAACGATACGATACAGCTAATAATGATGAAAGGAAAGGAAAAAGAATCAACCAAACTGCTTGAGCGTAATGAAGAAACTGG